AAAAGTAAAGTAAAGTAAAGTGTTTCTAAATTGACATAATTATGTAAAAAATAGTAATTTAATTAGAAAAAGTTAAGTCGCAAAGCTAGTTAAAACAAAATGTAGGTACTTAGCCAATTCTTAAAAACTTTTGATTACAAATCTCATAAGAAGCTCTCGTGACCGCAATATTTGCAGAGAAATCGACATTGAACTCAGTAAACACTGTGATTGAAGTATGACTCAAATCAAAAGGAACAAGGAAGTTTTCTTAAAGTTATTTATATGGGTATAATTTGAGTCGTGCGGACTCATCTTTTATATTATGCAGCGTATTGTTTCTTTTGTGATACCTTTGATAAGAACGATTTTTTTTCTTACTTATAATAATATTGTAAAGATTATTATATTAATAAGTTTGTATTCCGCCCTTTTTAATGTCCCACTGCTGGGCACGGATCTCCTTTCAATACGAGCGGGATCAGGCTATAGTCCACCACGCTGGCCAAGTGCGAGTTGGCGGACTTCACACGTGTTTCGAAAACTTGCTATAGAATGTGTTGCGACGTATGTTATGTATGATACTTTGATGTCACGCAAGCCCTCGAATAGATCCGTATCGGTATTATATTTTTTGATTATTGTTATTTCTATCATTCGCAGAGCCTGATGAGACGATAATTCGACACGACCCATGAGAGTTGTCTGACGTACAGGGGCGAAACATAGCCAATTTGCCAACTATTATTGGCCCGACCCGGCACTCAAACCCAGAACACTGAATCTGCAGCCATATATACTAGCCACTAAACCAATGAGGCACTATTTACTATGAACATGTTCGCGTATTTTTTGTTTTCTCCATTTATGTCAGGTAGACGTCCTTAAACATACGCATTCCTCTTAAAATTTTATATTTTTTTACTTCATTGTTTTAATTGAGAGTATAATTAGTCTACATGTTTATTTTAATTTATTCGAAAAATATATAACTACCAGTGATGCTTTTCTTCGTCTTAACAAATTAGTAGATATTTTTTGTTTCATTTGTGTTTTTAACTTCGATTATTTCTGACTAGCGGAAAAGCACAAACAGATCTATCCCACGGGAAACGTTCATTTTTCTGGGATGAAAAATTCTGTGTTTGTTCTATTTTCCTTCTTACATCCCCCTGACTCGTTTTTTAGCATTTTTTTCTATGTCAGAGATTCGACCTGTACAGTTTTATTATAGTATAGATAGGATTGTGTTTTGTTGAGACACTCAATTGTCAGAATATTACGACTACGATTACTACTATCTATCCATTCATCCATCCCATCATCCATCCATCCTATACAGGGTCATTTTTAATTTACTGAAAACCTTTTGGGAATATACTGTTTACATCATAACAACAACATCTGTAAGAAAAAAAAAATATTTTACAAAAATAAAAATATTTTTATTGCTCCTTCTAAACGGTAATAGTCTAGCAATTAGCAAAAGAAAGCGTGTGACCGGTGGAGGGGTGTAGGAAGTAGCCCTTACTCATTTAAACTTGGCCAGATGCTAGAACTTTGCCGTTTAGAAGGTACAATAAAAATCTTTTTATTTTTGTATGAAAATAAAAATTTAAGAAATATAATTTTTTCTTGTTACAGATGTTGTTATTATGATGTAAATAAGTATATTCCCAGAAGGTTTTCAGTAAATTAAAAATGACCCTGTATATACCTATATACTTAAAATTTAAAGTACCTTAATTTATTACATAGCAATATTTGAAATATTCACATCAAATTTTTATTCTTGCATTTTTACGATTTTTAAATCTTTGAAAATTTTCTAACACCCACACACTCCAATAATGTTTACTTTACAAAGCTGTTATTTAAATAAATTTGCCATACTATATGATTTGTAGATAGCGTCAAACAGTATAATAGCAGTGTTAAAAAATATCCAAGAGATGCTCAGAAATACCTAAGATACCTAAGGTAGTTGAAACCTTGTATAACCTGATATTCCTGACTAAGAACACTACATCAAAAATTACTTTTTTAACGTAAGAATTGAAAAAAATATATACTGAAAAATGTAAATTTATTCAACGATGTGTACCTATAATTATATTTTAATCTTCATATTTCATTCAAAATGCTACCATCTTACTCGTAAACTAGTTTATGTCTTTGGCAGTGCGTGGCATTTACATATTTGTTATTTGTGTATTTTATATGGAAATTAAGTATAAATAATAATTAAAAATATTTTCAATTCTGATTACCGTCTAACAAATTTCGGATTATTGTTTTGATTTTCTCATCTCATCTAAAATTATTTTCAATCTTTGTAAGGAAGTTCAAACATTATGTGTGATGATGTTCTCCTAGCCGATTCCGGCCACGGCGGCCAATCTCAATGAAATTAGCCAACTGCGCAGGAGATATTATAGTACTCAAGTGTACGCGCAGACACGAGTGCACTCTCTATTCCCATCACTCTCATACTCCGGTGGGACGACCACTCGACACGACCGGTGAAAGTTAAGGCGCAGGACCGACGGCTTTACGTGCTCTCTGAGGCACGGGGGTGAAACACCGCCAACTTCCCAACTCCGGGCTGTTACTGAGACTTACTATACAGGAAGACTCAATAACTAAACTTGGCCCGACCCGGGACTCGAACCCAGGACCTCCGGGTGTGCAGTACATGCTAGCCACTACACCACCGAGGTTATGTGTAAATACTGTCATATATCACAATAACATTATTCTGAAAGTTTAGGAGTAAGTTATACCATCTCTAACGAAGTGGATAATATTTTTGAAGTTATACTTCTTTTGGAAAAGAATATGAGAGTAAAATTTTTACGATCCGCGCGCACATCGACAGCTAAAATGCGACATGATGAAGTTAGCTGCATTCCTTTTATAAACAGACAGTTGTGACAGACGGGATAAATTCTTAAGCTATTTTTGTTCTGTTACGGCAAAGAAGTATTTAACTTCTTACGTGCGTACATAAGCAACAGGTACATATTTTTATTTTGAACTTATTTAAGAGAGTTACAGACAGACAGATATATATATATATATATATATATATATATATATATATATATATAATATATATATATATATATATATATATATATATATAAATAGGCAAAGGTAGACCGTTCTTTTTCTGCTCTCTTTGTTAACCTTCTTTAATGTTCTTCTTTTCATTTAGTAGCTTTTGACGCTTTAATGTTATCTATAAAAAGAACTCACGGTCGAAAATCGACCACTGAGCGAACATTAGTATAAATAAAAACCTATAATGTAGGCGAAGTCACGGACAGCCACTAGTTAACTATTATTGAATAAATAACTTAAGTATATGTTATTGCTTTTGTTATGCATAGTGCAGTAGCCGGGATCGGAGACCCCACACGCTCTAAACTTTGTAGGCTTACCATTAAACCTATTACTTTTGGATAATAACTATCTATTTCTGAAATAAACTAATTTATCTATTATACTAATAATAATATAAAGAGGTAAAGTTTGTGAATTTGTGACATTGTAGGTAATCTCTGGATCTACTGAACCGATTTAGATAAAATTTAGTAAGAAGATAATTTGAGACCCTGGGAAGGACATAGGATACTTTTTATCCTGGAAATCATCCCTTTAGGGGGTGAAAATGGGGATGAACGTTTGTATTGGAGAGCAAGCGAGGTACTAACCCGAGCGAAGCGAGGGTGAGTATATATATATATATATATATATATATATATATATATATATACCTTCAAAGTATAAATCAATATGTTAAAAAGTTATCCCATATCTCTACTAACATGGTGACTCTACTGATGAGCATCTCTTGTAAATTGTACTACATCGCCTGATTTGATGCAACGAATACCTTAAAGCAATTTACTGTTTTTGTCTCTATGTAAAAAGTAGAGATAATAAACTATAAGTAATATTTTTTATAACTTAATCAAGTTCAAAACACGCTTGCTTTCATTTACTTTTTTTATGTACACTTCGTCTCAAAAGTATTGCAAAAATAGTAATGATTTTTTGTATATTAATTAATTTTAATAAAACTATAAAAAACTCTATATAACTTTTAATAACTTAATTAACAAAAATATTTGCATAATTAATACAAATTTCATCTCATTCCGGTATAAGCATACGTTTTTTGGGACGACCTCTGCAAACGTTAAAAAATAAAAAAGAAGCAGAAAGAAAAAATGAGGGTGGTCACTTTTAGCAATAACGCTATTTCGAGAAATATTTTTTGTAAAAAAAATTTTTGTTTTTGCTAAAATAAGAGTATTTAAAATCGAACGAAAACGAGAGTGCCGAACAGGTAATCGAAATTAGATTAATCAGTGCATCGCTCCTGAGTCGAAATCCAGAAACGTATGAATGGAACCCGTCTCGAGTCTTAATATATCTCCTGTATAACTATATCGGAAGCTGGTGTAGGGTAAACGATGCTATTGTAGTATAGATGAAAATGAAAATTAAAACTTTATAAATATATATAAATGGTATGACTTAATTTTAGTGTGTTAATTTATTGTATAGTTAAAGATTAACATGTATACGTACGTTTTAAAATGAACTTAAAACAGAATAAAAATATAATCTTTTTTTAGGATTTTTTTAAAGAAAAATATTTCTTTCTCACACACAATACACTTACGAAGCTGTTTTATAATACATACACAGTATATATGAAAATACATTAATAGAAAGAAATTTATTTTTATTATATAAGTTTCATTAATTTCAACAATTTTTTGCTTTTCAATTTTTTTTATAATACAAAGATGTCCAACTAGCTGTGAAAATTAAATTAAAAAAATATAATTATACAATTTACATTTTATTAAAATCTGTTCTATTCCACAGTTTCATTTTAAAATTTCGCCCTATGCACACTTGATAACAAAAACTAATAAGTCAGTAACACGCGAGCATACCTTACTGTCGCGCCATGTGGCCAGTCGACGTCCCGCCGCGGCCGCACAATGATGCGTTTCATGTTGTTCACTATACTCGTGCTCTACGAAATACAAGCGTATATGACCGACCAACCATCCTTCGCAGACAGACTCAACCATATATACGAAAAGCTTGAAAAGTTTACAATAGCACCTTCAAAAAAGCTCAATAGTAAGCTTTACGCGAAATTGGACAGATTAAACTCCTTGAAGCCAGGTGAATTAACTGATGAAGATGAAGAGCTTTTGTCTGCAATGCAAATGTGGGGAACGATAAGTGATGATCAACTCAAAGGAGTTGTTCAAGAGTTTCAAAATTTGAAAGAGGACAAAAGTGATAGAGTCGATGAATATAGTGATGGTGATTGGAACGATGATGTGAGTTTATTTGGTGTTTACTAATTTAACCATATTCTAGTTAACGTTAATATTTTTTCCATTAATTTCCATAAAGTTTTTACATATCTCTTTGTCATAATAATAACTTTTACTAGCTCTGTTAACCGAGCAACAATATTTTATTTGTTAACCAAATTGTGGTACTCACGATACAGGCTTTGCCTAGTGTGAGTTACCCTCAGTAATGAAATATTTTGTAAACTAAACTTTTTAGACAATAAAGATTATTATTATTATTATTAATATGCCAAGTTACGATTTTATTTAACTATCCAATATTGAAAATTGCTTCAAAATTTATCCATGCCGTAGGTTCTTACCGTAAATAAGATTGCCGCTCAAGCCCTACCTGCGGTGAAATTTTTTTTTTTCTTCAATATAAATAAAAAGAATTTTAAAAGGATGCGTGAGTTAATTATATTTTAAATGTTTGAGTAATTTAAGAAATTTTCACAGGAGATTTCAACATTTTATATTTTATAGTTTACATATTATAAAGTAAAATCCTCCCGAAGTCTGTCTGTCTATCTGAACGCGATAAACTCAAAAACTATGAAACAGATTTTCATACGGCTTTCACAAATAGACGGAGTGGTTCATGAGGAAGGTTTAGGTGGATAATTCATTAAGGTTTTGTGTAAATTAGCTGAAATATGATGAAGATTATTGAATATGTCGGCAAAAATCATGCCGACTTATATAAAAACAATGTATTACGGAATGGTTCCTCTTAAAATGACCTATTAAACTGTATCAACCCTATATGTACGTACCCAGAGACACATATGAGTCGGCGAGGGGAAGTCCCAAGTAATATTTAAATCGCAAAATGTGAACTAACTCATAAAATCAACATATTTATATGATTTTATAAAATAAAATATAATATAGGCGTAGAGACCGTAAAAAAAGATCATTAGTACAGGTAGAGTTCGCAAATACTAAGTCCACTATTCTTAATTATTTAAATGAAAGTAAGACATAGTGAGCCACCTGGTTTTATTCGTGGTTAAGATTTTGAATAATGTATATCTTTAATGGGATCACATAAATCATGTAGTACGGACACCATAAGCTGAATTAATTATTTTTCTCAGACTTAAAGGGTTTTTAGAAGAAATCTCTTAAAGAGATAAATTGCTTTGTCCGCATGTTTGATTTTTATTTTGTTATATTTTTAAAGTATATAAATATAAGTATATAACATTAAATAAAGTAAGAAATATGATTTTAATAACAATATTTCGTTTTAACGAATTTTGTTAAATAATTTAAACTAAATTAAAACTTTCTTATTCATTATAATATGTATAATGTGATCTCTACACTATAAAATTGATATCAAAATTTAATTATAACTTAGTCTTTATAATAAAAGATACATAAATGACGTTTATAAACAATTGACGGCAACTGAATGAATTTTGATAAGACATGATATTAAGAATCATATTTTTTATAATATTTTAATAATAGCCTAAAACTTGTATTATAAGTAGTATATACTTGTAGTATATACTAGTAGTATATACTAGTAGTATATACTAGTAGTATATACCAGTAGTATAATTTGCAGCTCTGCTTATGTAAAGTAACAAATAGACAGACATCTTGATTATTACATTATAATAGTGGTATTTTGCTTCAAATAATATATTTATTGGAAAAATCTAATAAAAACATTGTAGATTTCATTATCCTTATCACGCCTTTTACTAATGTATTTATTTCGTAAATGTTTATATGAAAGTAGCATTGCCCGCGGCTCCGCCCGCGTTCAGATGACCATAACCAAATTTTTAGGTTTTGTATATTAGTATACTCTTACATTGCAGTTTTTGTATTTTTTCTCAGAAATGAGATAATTTCTCGCGGGAAAAAGTATCCTATATGTTGACCCGAATAACCAGCTATCATCATACCAAATTTAATCAAAATCTGTCCAGTGGTTTTCTCGTGATGCGGTAACAGACAGACAAAAATTGTCTAAAACTATAGATTCGGACTCTATATCGATAATAATGTATATTTCTATTAGATTTTCCAAAAAATATTTAATGTACAGACTCGACTTAGTTACAATTTTATTATATGTATAGATTAGTTAAAGTACCTACTTTATTTTTTCTAAACAGATTCAATAATAAAAATACCTTTTAGGTTTGTCAATTCAATATAAGGCTTTTTATTCCATTTGTGACGACGAACAAAAAGTATTCTAAGCATTGAGATCGAATATCCAAAAATCAAAAATATTCAAAAATTAAATAATTTTTAATTAGTTTTATTCTTAAAACCATTTATCTACTATTATACGAAACTTACAAATGCTTTATGCTGTTAATATCTAAGAACGGTGCACTGAAATATTTCCGCCGGCAAAAATTTCAAATAAACATACAATAGACTAGTGGCCAGTACTAATGTCCAGTTAATTTATTTATTTGCGTTTGCGAAATCGATTGAGTTAAAGTCACGATGAAATAAATTTTGATGGCTTAAAACTTTTATTTTATTATTTTTATGATGCGAGATCGGATATTTAAAATGATTTTCGATTTCTCTTTTGGGTCTCCAATTTCCCAAAACGGTATAGTGTGCACTCAGTGCGACTAAAGCCTTTCTAGTTAACGTTATCGCTTCATTGTTGTGTGTATTGTATTCAACCCTTTTTAACGTCCCACTGCTGGACACGGGCCTCCCATCAATACGAGGGGCATCAGGCCATAGTCCACCACGCTGGCCAAGTATGGATTGGCGGACCTCACATGTCTTTTGAATACTTGTTAAGTTCTCTCAGACATGCAAGTTTCCTCACGATGTTTTCCTTCACCGTAAGGCAAGTGGTAATCATGTTGGAAATAATTCGCACATGAAAATATCAAAGGTGTAAGACTCGAGATTTGAACCCGCTTAACTCGGTTTCCCAAGTAAGCGCGTTACCACAGGGCTACCACTGCCTTTTTACATAATCTATATATATATATATATATATATATATATATATAAAAAAAGAATACATATAACGATCAAGATTGGGACCAGTACAAGAATGTCAAGGCCATGTACAAAAAACGTATAAGATATTGGAGGAACCGTGCATGGCGGAAATACTGTGATTCCATAGAATCGTTTATACAGGCTAACAGAATCCGGAAAATCCTCACCGGACAGTCACAACGAGAACTGGGTTCACTAAGGAAACCAGATAACACCTATACCAAATCATTAGAAGAATCACACCAAGTGCTTCTGCAGACGCATTTTCCCGACTGCACAATGGTTAATGAACACAAGTGGTTAGACATACACCACAAGGCAACAGACATCTCCTGGCAAGTTGCGTCAGAGGTCATAAACCCCAAGAAAATAACGTGGGCCATCAAAAGCATCCAACCATTCAAGGCACCGGGTCTAGATGGAATCTACCCCGCCTTTATACAATGGGGAGGCCCAAGACTGCACCACATACTTAACAAAATATACCAGGCATGTTTGGCTTTTGGCTACGTGCCTAAAACCTGGAGAGAGGTTAAAGTAATATTCATACCGAAGCCAGGTAAAACAGACTACTCGGATGCAAAATCCTATAGACCAATCAGTCTCACATCATTCCTACTTAAGACTATGGAAAGATTATGTGATAGACACCTGAGAGATAACGCTTTAGCAAAAACACCCTTACACAGGAATCAACATGCCTATAGTTCAGGCAAATCAACGGAATCAGCTCTTCATGCAGTAGTATACAAAATTGAAGAGGCATTAGATACCAAGGACATTTGTCTGGGCACCTTCATTGACATTGAAGGTGCTTTCGACAAAACCAACTTCACTAGTATCAAAGCCGCACTCAGCAGACACAAGGTGAATCCAACAATAACTGACTGGATCCAATATATGTTAGCGAATAGAGTGGTCAGGCTAGGTAACAGCAACAAACAAGGTGCCATCGTGGCCAAAGGATGTCCTCAAGGAGGAGTACTCTCACCCCTCTTATGGAACCTAGTAGTCAACGACCTAATAACCCTGCTCAACAACAACAGATATTATACGATAGGCTATGCAGATGACCTAGCCATCCTTGTAACGGGCAAATTCACAAGTACAGTCTGTGAATTAACTCAGACAGCACTGAATATAGTCGAAAAATGGTGTTATGACTATAATCTGAGTGTTAACCCACGCAAAACAGAACTAATAATGTTCACAAACAAAAGAGCCCTAGGAAACTACACCCTGCCGAAACTCTTTAACTCCACCTTAACATTAACCACAGAGGTAAAATACCTTGGAATCACTCTGGATAGCAAACTAAATTGGTCCAAACACCTAGACAATTTATTAAACAAAGCCAGTATCACCTTCTGGCAATGCCGAAGGATGATAGGTAAAAAATGGGGCCTCAATCCCAAAATAACTCTATGGCTATATACATCGGTAATACGACCTATGATCAGCTATGGTGCCTTAATATGGTGGCGTAGAACACTTTTGACCACAGCACAAACCAAGCTACAAAGCTGGCAAAGGTTGGTGTGCATGGCAGTGACAGGCTGCATGAGAACAACACCAACCGCAGCACTCGAAGCCATGCTAAACCTTCTACCGCTTCACTTGTTTATACAACAAGAGGCTGCAACTACCGCGGTAAGACTAGATAGTCAAAAACTGCTAAGGAAAACAGGCACTCCACACACAAAAATCCTAATAGACGTTGCCAAAGACATTCCTCTCATGGGAGCACCCAATGATGGAATACAAATAAAATACATTTTTGACAAAAAATATAAAATACAGCTGGAGGAAGATACATGTGAGGGTCGCGACAGCAAGGACCTAAGAATCTACACCGACGGCTCGAAAACCAAATCGGGGACTGGCTGTGGCATTTTCTCCGATGATCTAAACATTAAAACTTCAATACCTCTAGGTACCTACAACACGGTGTTTCAAGCTGAAAGTCTAGGTATCCTTGA